TTCCTCTTAGTCTCAAAATTCCTTCCCTTATTCTAGTCCCGCAGCCCCAAAACATCTCAACCGTTTACCTTACACTGTTTTTGGCAGTTATCTGCTTACACAGTAAACCAATTCAACTAGCTAAAACAGCAAAAGATTTACCCCCAAAAGAATTTAAAGAGCAATTTTTAGCAGCATAGCAAGTTAAACTATCTTACTCTGCAATTAGACAACAACTGGAGACAGCAAAAGGAAGGGAGTGCTTTCATGAACAAGACCTCCCCCTTTCAACAGCAACCCGTCTATTTTCTCACCATGAACCAAAAGGAGAGCTTTTCCTCCCTATGAAAATTCACTCAAGTTTAGCCAAACCAAGAAATTCTGGAGGGAAAAGGAGAGAAAAAAAAAAAAAAAGGATGGAATTGTAAAAAGTAGCTATTTTTCATTGGAGGAGGGAATTTACCCAAATGCTCCAATTTTCCATGAGAAGTATATGCATTACTGCAGATCACCATCTTTGGTAAAGAATTTCCCATAAAACAACAAGTCCCCTTTGGAGCCATCAGTATTTTTTTAAACTGAGTAAGGATTCTTAATGCTCAGGCAAGAGTTACTATTTAAGTCTGCATAGATTACATTTCATTTCTGATGATAATCCAACCAGAAACAGGAAAGCAGCCAAACTGAGTTTGCCCAAGCAGATTAGCAGACAGCTTGGAGGAAGGGGCAAAGTTATGAGTCTCATCATTCTCGTGCTGCTAGCTGTGTGCCCCACTAACAACATCCCATCTCACCAACAGAGGACATATAGAAGCTATAGAGATTATAATAGACAAATAGTACCATTTAGAGATCTGGTCTTTGGATCAAAATCCTCAAGGCAGGGGAAAACTCAACATTATTACTGACATAATCAACAGTGACAATTGCAAGAACTCAGCAAGAGCATGTGAAAAATTAAGGTTGTTCAGGGAAGCTTAGTTTTACTCACTTACATAAATATTATGATATAGTGATTATCTGATCGCGTATTGTTTCTCCTCACCAGGGACCAGACTACATGGAGAGACCTGGATGCAAAGTGTGATTTAGCTTTCTTCATATACCTATGTCTCACTTTGTATGTATATGGCTAGCATAAGGCAGAGGAATATAAGAGGTGGCTAATTTCAGAAAGATATTTTTGCAATAATACACTTGGTTAGGTTACCCTAAAATGTTCAGCTAGCCACTGGTAGTAGATTTACATCACCTAAGCACCTTACTTCACATTTACAAAATGATAAATTCTCAGGATAAGGACACAAGCATTTTGTACACAAGGGGAAAAAAATACAGACATATCTGCAAAAGATGACCCCGTAAGTGTCTCAGGTTGATTACAAAAGACAGTAGGTAACCTAGTTTACTTCACTTTTAAAAAAATAAAAATATTTCTGCCACAATCCTAGCTTAAAACAGGAATAATTCAAACATAGCGATATTTTTCAGGGATATTGTGAAAATCTACAAACTGCAGCTTTAAAGTCTTAGCCTGTACTTGAAGAAAAAAAAACAACAAACATTCCTGAAGAGAGTAGTGCAGCACTGTAACAGGTCACCCAGGGAGGTAACGGATGCTCCATGCTTGGATGTTTTCAAGGCTTGCTTAAACAAAGGTAGAGCTGAACTGATCTACTGCCGGCAACAGCCTTACTTCAAGCATGAGGTTGGACTGTGTGACCTCCTGAGGTCAATTCCAAACACCATTTCTATGATCCTATAAAAGAATATCCACAGAATATTTTACTACTACAACACAAGCGGTACGGAAACAAAAGTGAAAAAATCCACAGCTCTGTGTTAGGTGCAAGATTTGACTGGTCTGAATAGAACAATACACTTGAGAAAGAAGGGAAAAAACATTCATAGCAATTACACTTTAATTATCTTATTAGCCTATTACCTGCTCTTCTGATTCTGGACAGCAAATTGACAAAGTCAGTGCAAGGTATTTACCAAAAGCATGCAATTTAAACAGACTCTTATTCTGAAGAATCATGGACCAGTGTTTCATGTAATAGAGAAGCTAAGAGATCAGAAAGTGTGAGATAGCCGCTTTGAACAGCAGTAAGACAACAGATCATAAAAGCGATTGGTCTTGAACCTTCTCATTCAAGTCTTAAAGCACGGTCTTGTGTAATTTCCATCACAGTAACAGCAAACAACTTCTAAAGCTCATCCAAAGGACCGAAGACTATTTTAAGTACAGACCCCTTACAAGCCAACATCCTTACAAATAAGTATTTTGGTTATGTGAACTTTGCTTGTCACTTATGTAGGCATGACAAGAAGTTTAAGCTTCACTTGGGGCTCTGGGGCCTAGAAGCCCCTACACTTCGGATTCTTGCAGTTAGGAAGACACAGCAAGGAGAGTGTCACTGCCTGCTTGCCTTGATTTTCTATCTGCTTGTGACCATCAGCTGCTCGCTCCTGCCAAGAATCACACACACACACCCCCCCTGGCACGACCTGTCACTGTGACCCTTACTTTCTGCAGCTTTCCAGCAAGTATTTTTAAAAGGGCCCGAGAGATAAGCGGCCGGGGCTTCCTATTTCCGCAACGTGACCGTAACTCACGAGATGAACC